ATCAGTTAGGGTAACATGTAATCATACTGCCTTGCCTCCGTCCAGCCCATGTTTACGGACGTCACCTAAGTACTTGAAAAAGGTGATTTAATGTAATTCTTGAAGTCTGAAATTTTTTATTGCATCAGTGACAATATTACCTTGGTGGAGGTATGCGGTTTCTGAGTGTTGCTAGTTTTTGGTACTGCAGCTGCTATTATCATTATTATCATTATTACTATCATTTATATTGTCATTGTTATTATTATTATCATTATTGTTATTATCATTATCATAATTGCTATTGTTATTATCATTATCATAATTGCTATTGTTATGATCATCATTATAACTTGTTATTGTCATTATTGTTATTTTCGATATCATAATAGCATTTTCATCATAATCGCATATTAATTTTTTGTTATTAGTTATTGTTGTTACTATGAATACTACTTTTATTATTATGAATGCCATCATTATCTTTTATATTATTAGTATTATAACTATTATATTACCATATCATCAGCAACACCATTGTTAAGATCATTATCACCATATTATTATCAAAATCATAGTTATGATAATAACTATAATTATCATAGAAATTATTATCCTTATTATTGCTTATAGTCATTATTATTATTGTGAATATCATCTTTATCATTATCATCACTATTATTACTACTCTTGTTACTAGTATCGTTTTCATCATTGTCATTATTATTATTGTCATTATCATTGTTACAAATATCAATATCATCGTCATTACTACTATCATTAACTTTATTACTAGTATTATCATAGTTAAAATTACTACTGGTATTATTATTACTACTATTATTATTATGATTATCATAATTCTTATTGCAATTATTATCATTATGAACTTATTATTTATATCATTATTATAAATATCTTCAAAATTTCATTATCATTACTATCTATTATCATCATTTTCATTACTACCACTATTATCATTATCATTATTTCTGCCTTTGTATTTATCTTTTTATAATTGTCAACATCACTATTATTGTTTTAATTATTACTAATACTATTACTAGCATTGTTAGTATTATTAGCATTATTACTATCACTACAATTATCATTATTAGGTATTGTTATTGTCATTAGTTTTACTATCATTCTATTATCATTTTCAGTAACTGTAATCATTTTCATTACTATTATTATTACCATTGTTATTATCATTACCATCATTATCATGATAGTAATTAATATTATTATTATCATATTTACTATTATCGCTGTCATTAATATCACTGTTTTCATTTCTTGTCTTCATTATCATGCTTATTATTGATACTATCCTCATCATTACCATCATCTTTATTATTGTAATAAGTATTATCGTTAGATGTATTAGTACTATCAATATCAATATCATTATTAATAGTACTACTATCATCGTTGTTAATAATATTTACTCCTACTTTAGCCCTCATTTTCTAATGATTGTCCCTGGCACCGAAGCCGTAGTATGCAGGGTCTACAAATCACTGTTGCATATTTTAAACCGTCAGAATGACGTGTCGGAGATGTCACAAAAAAGAACAAAGTGGAAAAGAAAAGAAAAGAGAGAAAGAAAAAACGCCAAAAGCAAATTCTCATGTTCCCCTCAGTTTCCCATTTTCTTCACTCACTAAGAAGCACCATTCTTTTGCCCCTGGATGGGAAAGATGCACGTCTTGTGACATGTATTTTTCTTACCGTTTTATCCCTTTTCTTCTTAGAGTAAGAGTATTTATCTTTTCTTTTTTCTTGATGTTTTTCTTCCTATTCGTCTCCCTTTTCCCGGCGTCTCCCTTCCAGTCGTGTATTTTTTCTTTACTTTGCGTCTCATAGCTGGTCACTATTTTCATTTCACTTTCAACTTTTCTTGCTGGTGTGATTTCCCTTGGCATTTCTTTTTAATCATACTTTACGTTACCTAAAACATATAATTTGCTATATTTCCTCCATTTTCACGGTTCATGTGGTAGACTAATTCATTCTGTCCTTTTTCTGCCATTCATTTTCTTTTCATAAATAAAGCTACAATTTCTTTTCAGATTCCTCTACTTCGCTCCCTCTTTATACGAGGTTAGGGCAGTAGTGGACAGTAACCGGCGACATCACTCGGTGCATTGTTCCCTCTCTGACTCCCGCATCTGTGCACATAAGCTTTGAGCACAGAATCGCTCCCTCTGGAAACATGAGGTCTAGAGCGTGGTATTCTGATGGAAAGGATGAAATGCCATCTTGACATAGCATGGTCTGAACGAGTCTGATTCTTCTCTTGTGACATTCGCCGTAGCCAAGGTCGTGTCAGTTCTTGGTGGTTGATGTGTATATATCTAGACATATATTTTGGCTGAGTTGATTCGTCACACTTGTTAATATTAGCATTATTTTCTATCGTGCAACCTGCCCATGCTCATATGCATGCGTAAAGTTGATAATTGACCTCCTCCTTCTTATCTCAATTGTCTGGGATAGACCGAAAAGCAGTCGCATAACTTATTGCTTTGTACCATCATGCAAAGCTTCAACTCGAGATGAAGGTCATGAGGAGGGCACCGCACATTCTCTGTGTACGAAGTCTTTACCAGACTCGATCTGGTTTATTTCAACTGTTTTTGTACTGACAATCAGATAACGCGCCATTGTCATTTTCAGTGGAATTCGGTATACTCAAAAAACAGATATACTTCAAAAGTATTTTGTTTAGCACTATCCATCCCTCTACCATGCGATGCCCTTTATGGTAGAAAGATCTTGAGGCTCTCGGTGCCTGTTTCATTCGCAAACATTTTATATGAATGTATACATATTAACGGCTTCGGTAGCACCAGTAGCAGGGGATTTTAATGTTAACATTGTCTGTTTTGGCTGCTGAC